CCAGTCTACATTCCCACCAGCAGTGGAGAAGGGTTCCTTTTTCCCCACAGCCTCTCCAACATTTGTTGTTGGGTGATTTCTTTATGACAGCCATTTGTTCTGGGGTGAGATGACATCTCAATGTTGTTTTCATTTGCATTTCATGGATGGCTAGTGATATGGAACATTTTTTTTCATATATTTATTCACTTTTTAAATTTCATCCTCTGAGAAGTGTGTGTTCATCTCAGATGACCAATTCTGGATTGGGTCTTTAAATTTTTGGGCCCTACTGTTTTTTAGTACTTTATAAATTCTAGAGAGCAGACCTTTGTCTGAGTACTTATTTGTCATGATTTTTTCCAAATTTGTGGGTTTTCTTTTCATTTTGTTGGTAATTTCTTTTGACGTAAAAAAACTTCTCAGTAAGAGCAGGCCCCAGTTGCTAATTCTTTCAACTGTTTCCCATGTGATTTCATTTTTGTTCATGAGCTTTTTGCCTACCCCTATGTCTTCAAGAGCTCCTTCTAATTTCTCTTCCAGGAGATTTAGTGTCTCTGCTTTAATGTTTAGATCTTTAATCCATTTTGACTTTAGCTTAGTGCATGGTGATAGATCTGGGTCATGTTTTAGTTTTCAGCATGTAGAGAGGCAGTTTTTCCAGCACCATTTGTTAAAGAGGCTATCTTTCTTCCAATGAGTATGTTTGGCCTTTTTGTCAGAGATAAGGTTGCTGAGTGTGTTCGTAGGGCCTTCAGCATCTTCTAATCTGTTCCATTGACCCTCAGGTCTATTTTGTTGCCAGCACCATGCTGATTTTATTACAGTAGCCTTGTAGTATAATTTCAAGTCAGGAATTGTAATGCATCCTGCCTTGTCTTTATTGTTTGGAATTTGCTATTCTAGGTCTTTTCTAGTTCCAAATAAATTTTAGGGTTGATTTCTCTAGCTCTGTAAGGTAAGTTGGTAGTAGTCTGATAGGGATTGCATTTAATCTGAGAATAGGATTGCTACCTCTGCTTTTTTCTGAAGTTCTGGGGCATGTATTATTGTGTTCCATCCTTTGACTTTTAGCCTATGAATGTCTTTATGAGTTAAATGTGTTTCTTGCATACAGCATTTTGTTGGATTTTGTTTCCTAATCTGCTGTGCCAGTCTATTTGTCTTAATTGGTGAATCGAGTCCATTTAAATTGATGGTTATTATTGAGATGTATTGACTTCTGATTGACATGTTATTTACCTGTTGTTGTTTACTCCTTTTTCTCCCGTGTTTCATTGCTTGCCCTATTTAGTTGGTTGCTTCTGATCTCATTCATGAAGTTCTGATCATTTTGGTCCCTGTCTAGCACATCTTTCAGTAGCCTGTGTAGGGTTGGCTTTGTCATCATGAAATTCTTCAGTTTTTCTTTGTCATGGAAGTATTTTACTTCTTCATGAAACTTGATAGTTTTGCAGGGTATAGTAGTCTGGGTTGGAATTTGTTTTCATAGAGGAGTTGGAGTACCCTGCTCCATGCTCTTCTTGCCTTCATGGTTTGCGAAGAGAAGTCGGCCATAATTCTGATGGGTTTTCCTTTGAATGTGATCTGCTTCTTTTCTCTAGCAGCTTTCAGTAGATTATTCTTGTGCTGAATTTCTGGGATCTTGACTGTTATATGTCTCATTGTGTTTTTAATTGGGTTACTTGGTATTCTGTATGCTTCAGTTACCTGAATGTCAGATTGTTTCCTCATATTTGGGAAGTTTTCTGCTGTTACTTCTGCCCATATTTTTTAAATGTCATTTGTGTTGACTCCTTCTTTCTCATTGATGCCTATTAATCTCATATTGTTCATCTTTGCATCATCTTGCAGGTCATGAATTATTTTTTCCTGCATCCTCGTTGTTTTTAAGAGATCCTTTCTTACCTTTTCACTAACTGCACCAGCATCTTCAAGATCAGAGACTCTGTCTTCGCTTTCACTTAAACTGTTTTCCAAGCTTGTGTTTGAGATTTTAAATTCCTCTATATCTCTTTGACTCTGCTTCATGCAATCTATTTCTTTCCTGTTTTGCTCATTCAAGGAATCTGTCATTTATCTAATCTCTATTTTTTTTTATCAATGTCTTCTTTAGAAGCAGGTATAAATTCTTTTACTGCCGTGTTTTTTTCAGATTGGGTTTCC